CTCGCTACTCCCTACTCGCTACTCACCACTCACTACTCAATACTCTCTACTCACTGCGCACCACTCACTACGCACTACTCACTACTCACTCCTCGCTATTCGCTACTGTCTACTCCCTCATCTCTACTTCCTCCTGACTCCTCACTACGCACTACTCACTACACACTGATTACTCCTCACTACCCACTACTCACAATTCTTCACTCACTACTTCCTTCCCTCTACCCACTACCCACTACTTACGATTCACTAATCTCTACGCGCTACTTACTACTACCACTACCAAGTACCCACTACTCACTACTCACAACTCACGACCCACTGCGCACTACTCACTATCAAAAACCCACGACTCACAGATCGCTACTCAAAGCACTCGATTCTCTACTCACTACCCGAAGAGGCCCCCTCCCCAGGATCCTGTTCGGCGCAAAGGGGGAGACGGGGGGGGGTCGACCCCCCCCCCTTCCAGCGCCATATATATATATATATATATATATATATAGCACCCCGCAATTGCGGATAAGAGTGAGGGGGCGGGCGCGGGCGACGCGGGCGTCGTCAAGCCGGCGGACCTCGTGGCCCCCACCTTCCTTGTCGATGGCGCTCTCCTCCTCCTCCTCTCCTCCTCCTCCTCTTCCTCCTCCTCCTCCTCCTCCGCCTCCTACTCCTCCTCCTCCTCGTCCTCGTCCTCGTTCTCATCGTCATCGTCGTCCTCCTCCTCCACCTCGTCCTCCTCCTCCTCCGCTTCTTCCTCGTCCTCCCTCTCCCCCCCTCGTCCTTCCATCATCGTCCTCCCATGTCGTCATGTTCCTCCTCGTCGTCCTCCTCCTCTTCCCCCCCTCCCGATCCTCCACCCTCCTCCTTTTCGTCGTCGTCGTCGTCGACGTCATCGTCGTCGTCCCCTCCCTCCTCCTCCTCCTCCTCCTCCTGCTGCTCCTCCTCCTCCTGCTGCTCCTGCTCCTCCTCCTCCTCCTCCTCCTCCTCCTCCTCCTGCTGCTCCTCCTCCTCCTCATCCTGCTGCTCCTCCTCCTCCTCCTCCTCCTCCTCCTCCTCCTCCCCCTCCTCGTCCTCCTGCAAAAGCAGCCCGCCGCAGGCGCCGAAAAAATTGGTTTGTCAGAGTGAGGGGGCCGAACGGTCATTCATTGTCCCTGGGTGCGTGGCTGAAGTGAGATTCCGCGGTGCGGATTCGTGTTGTTGTTGTTTGTTGTTGTTGTTGTTTGTTGTCGTCGTCCCACCTGCAACCCGCCCCGCGACCCACCCGCGACCCACCCCGCGACCCACCCGCGACCCACCCGCGACCCACCCGCGCCCCACCCGCGACCCACCCCGCGACCCACCCCGCGACCCACCCCGCGACCCACCCTGCGACCCACCCTGCGACCCACCCGCGACCCACCCGCGACCCACCCCGCGGCCCACCCCGCGGCCCACCCCGCGACCCACCCGCGACCCACCCGCGACCCACCCCGCGACCCGCCCGCGGCCCACCCCGCGACCCACTCGCGACCCGCCCGCGACCCACCCGCGACCCACCCGCGACCCACCCGCGACTCACCCCGCGACCCACCCGCGACCCACCTTCGACCCAAACCACGTTCAAGGTACAAACCAACATTTTCGGCGCCTGCGGCGGCTTTTTTTTGCATTCCTTCCAGATGGAGAGCCCGCGACCGCGACCCACCCCGCGATCAACTCGCGACCAACCCGCGACCCAAACCACGTTCAGGGTACAAACCGCATTTTTCGGCGCCTGCGGCTGCGGCGGGCATCTTTTGAATCGTTCTAGGTGGAGAGACCGCGGCCCACCCGCGACCACGTTCAGGGTACAAACCAATTTTGTTCGGCGCCTGCGGCGAGCATCTTTTGCATTCGTTCCCGGTGGAGAACCCGCGGCCCACCCGCGACCCAAACCACGTTCAGTGTACAAACCAATTTTTTCGGCGCCTGCGGCGGGCTGCTTTTGCAGGAGGACGAGGAGGGGGAGGAGGAGGAGGAGGAGGAGGAGGAGCAGCAGGAGGAGGAGGAGGAGCAGCAGGAGGAGGAGGAGGAGCAGCAGGAGGAGGAACAGGAGGAGGAGGGAGGGGACGACGACGATGACGTCGACGACGACGACGACGTCGACGAAGACGAAAAGGAGGAGGGTGGAGGATCGGGGGGGGGGGAAGAGGAGGAGGACGACGAGGAGGAACATGACGACAATGGGAGGACGATGATGGAAGGACGAGGGGGGCAGAGGGAGGACGAGGAAAAAGCGGAGGAGGAGGAGGAGGACGAGGTGGAGGAGGAGGACGACGATGACGATGAGGACGAGGACGAGGACGAGGAAGAGGAGGAGGAGGCGGAGGAGGAAGAGGAGGAGGAGGAGGAGGAGGAGGAGGAGGAGGAGGAGGAGGAGAGCGCCATCGACAAGGAAGGTGGGGGCCACGAGGTCCGCCGGCTTGACGACGCCCGCGTCGCCCGCGCCCGCCCCCTCACTCTTATCCGCAATTGCGGGGTGCTATATACACTGAGCGTGGTTTGGGTCGCGGGTGGGCCGCGGGTTCTCCACCGGGAACGAATGCAAAAAATGCTCGCCGCAGGCGCCGAAAAAATTGGTTTGTACCCTGAACGTGGTCGCGGGTGGGCCGCGGTCTCTCCACCTAGAACGATTCAAAAGATGCCCGCCGCAGGCGCCGAAAAATGTGGTTTGTACCCTGAACGTGGTTTGGGTCGCGGTTTGGTCGCGAGTTGATCGCGGGGTGGGTCGCGGGCTCTCCACCTGGAAGGAATGCAAAAAAGCCCGCCGCAGGCGCCGAAAATGTTGGTTTGTACCTTGAACGTGGTTTGGGTCGAAGGTGGGTCGCGGGTGGGTCGCGGGGTGGGTCGCGGGTGGGTCGCGGGTGGGTCGCGGGTGGGTCGCGGGCGGGTCGCGGGTGGGTCGCGGGGTGGGCCGCGGGCGGGTCGCGGGGTGGGTCGCGGGGCGGGTCGCGGGTGGGTCGCGGGGTGGGCCGCGGGTGGGTCGCGGGGTGGGTCGCGGGTGGGTCGCGGGTGGGTCGCAGGGTGGGTCGCAGGGTGGGTCGCGGGGTGGGTCGCGGGGTGGGTCGCGGGGTGGGTCGCGGGTGGGTCGCAGGTGGGTCGCGGACGGGTCGCGGGGTGGGTCGCGGGGGGTGGTCGCGGGTGGGTCGCGGGGCGGGTTGCGGGTGGGACGACGACAACAAACAACAACAACAAACAACAACAACAAACAACAAACGAATCCGCACCGCGTAATCTCACTTCAGCCAGGAATTCCACTTCAGCCACGCACCCAGGGACAGTGAATGACCGTTCGGCCCCCTCACTCTGATATATATATATATATATATATATATACAAGGCTGCAGTGGCGCTTCGCGCCATGCACCTTGGTCCTTGAAGATTGGTATACCGGCGGAAATGGCAGGAAGGTCAAGCGGACATTAGCGATAACTCCTTGCTGCCTTTTCTGGCATCGCCATTCTAATAATGTTGTTCGTTATCCTTCCTCCATGTTTGCTGTTCCTCATTCTCGCCATACCCTGGGCATTCTCCTCATCCTCCTCAGCTCTTTTCGCGGAGGCTCCTCCTTGGAGAGCCTTTGGGGGCCTCACCAAAGTTCTCAGGCATTCTTAAAGCCGTCTGGAGGCCTCCGGGGCGTGTTCTGGGGGCCTCTGGGCTTCCAAAGGCCAACCTGCCTCTAACCGCGGTCTCCCTGAACGCCCCAGTCACGATTTAGAATGCTTCGGAGGGCGTCTTGGAGCCATCTTGGGCCGCCATGGGGCTCTCTTAGGGCCATTGTGGACCCCTGTTGGGCCGTTTTGGTGTTCTCTTGGACTGCCGCAAAACCCTTCCGGATGGTTGTGGGGCGAATTTGGAGCCTCCCAGGCGACTTCGGACGCCCAGAAGACCGCTGTCGTGGAGCGTCGGGAAGGCGAAAAGAGAACCCCAAATTCACCAAAACCCTACATTAAATCAATGATGTTTCCCTCTTGGGGCCTTCTTGGGGGTGCTCTTGGAGGCCTCTTGGTACGTTTTGGAGCGATCTTTCGGGGTATGACGGCTTCTCGGAGCGCTCTTGTGCTGTCTTGGGGTTCTCTGGGACGTCTCCGATGACCCCCGTGATCGCCCTAGGTGTGCTGCGAAGGCTTGGCAAAACGCCCTGCGAGGCCCTGGGGGCCGTTTCGAGGCCCGTCCGAAGGGCCCCAAAGCCCCAAAACCCCAGATCCCGGGAGTTCCGTTTTGGGGGGGGGGTGATGGGTTTTCCCCCGCCCGGGCTTGTAAAAAATAGGTAGAGGAATATATATATATATATAGAGAGAGAGAGAGATAATCTCTATATATATATATATATATATATATATTATGTGTCACTCTCCTTCGTTCTCCGTGTCCCCAATTCCCCAATTCCCGAACACGTGTCCTGCAGGTCCGTGCCCAACTCCCGCTTTGCCAATTCCAGGCTCCCGGTTCGCAGGTCCCGTCTCCCGGCTCCCGGCTCCCAGCTCCAGGCTCCCGGTTCCCAGTACTCCCAGCTCCCAATTCCCAGTTCCGCGCTCCCGGTTCCCGCGGTTGCCGGCTCCTGGCTCCCATTTCCCGGTTCCCGGTTCCCGGCTCCCGGTTCCGGGTTCCCGGTTCCTTTCACTATTGCTCCATAGTGGAAGGAGGAGGAGGAGGAAGAGAAGGAGGAGGAGGAGGACGACGACAAGAACCCCGGTGATCCTGACGTCTCATGTTTTTCGAGCCGATCGTTTTCGCCCGATTTCGGGCCCCGGGACCCTCGCAGATCGACCCGGAGCAGCAAGATCGGGTCCGGGGCTCTGGTTTTGATTATTCACGATGTTGTAAGTGTTTTCGCGTCGACGATTCTCAGGGAATGGTGAGGAGCGCGAGGGGGACGAGGAGAAAGAGGACGAGGGGGAGGAGAGGGCCGAGGAGAAAGAGGAAGAGGAGGACGCAACAAACACAAATGTGAGGATGAGGAGGAGCTGCCCCCCACCCCACCTCGGCCTCGGAGCGGCGCATCTCGGCCTTCAGGGTCTTGAGGCAGTGTCCCCCGAAGTCTCTCCTCGTGAGATCGGAAAGGCCTCCACGGCTTCGCCCTCAAAGGAAAAATGCGCCCCAGTCGGGGAACTTCTGACCCGGGTCAATCCAGACCCCGGTCAGTCAGGCCGTGCAGAATCTTGCGCAATCCTGCAAGATCCTGCGCACAAACCCGGGTCAATGCCAAGGACCCTGCAAGATCCTGCAGGATCTTGCACCCAAGCCCGGGTCAATGCGACCCTGGCCCTGCAGGATCCTGCAAGATCGGACGCTCTAGCTGACCCCCGTTTGCATTGACCCCCGTCTCAAGGCTCCCGGAGCCCAGGGATTCCGAGCCCGTTCCGGCGACCCGGCTCCAGGATCGAGCCCGCTCGGCGGCCGAACGGCCTCGATTTTCCCACCGACGCCCCTCGCTAGCGAGCTTCCGGCGCCCCCGATCGGGCTCGGACGGTGAGCGGGCTCGGAAAGGAACCCTGGGGGTTGTTAAGATCCCTTCATCTGAATTCGCATCGAACTGCGTCGCTTCACCTTCGATTGGAGACGAGTCGGCAAGCCCTCAGGGAGAGGTCACTGTATCAGCTTCACTAAAACCATCCGCGCGCGTCGCGCGCTTTTAGGAATTAGCGTAACATTGGACAACGTTTCGACACACAGTGTGCGTATACCCACGTCTGTCTTGCAAATGCTTCGAACCGTTCGAGTTATATGTCGCACTCCTCTCGTTACTCGCCCTCACCAATGTCTGTTCTGTCTCCTCTCTCCTCTATTTTCTCCTCCCTTTGGCTCCTCCCTGCCAACCTCTGTTTCCTGTCCCTCCCTTCTCGCTCGTCTCTCCTATCTCCTACGACCTTCCTGCAAGCACTTGGGAGACCTCTGGGGCCGTCATGGGAAACTCTGGGGCGTTTGCAGGGTCGTCTTGTGGCCTTGGGGGGCTCCTCTGTGGGCAAGCTTGCGCCATTGACGACAATCCAAAAACCTCAGAAGCCAAACGGAATCAAAGTATATCGTAGCTGTTTTCTCCGATGGATTTTCGATGTGTATATGTATGTATATATATATATATATATATATATATATATATATATATATATGTATACATGTATATATATATATATATGGTAGGGGGGGGCTCATGAGATCTACCTTTCAGTTCTTCGGCTTGGTGTTGCTGCTGCCTTTGTGTTGTTTCCTGTGCTGTCTTTCCTTGAAGTTCTTCCGTTGCCTAATGTGTTGCCTTTCGTGTGATCCTTTGCTCTGGCTCTCTGGCTGAAGATATGTGGTGAGTTTTCCAGTTTCGGGCTGATTCGGAAACTAGAATTCTAACAAAGCGGAAAAACCATAAAAAAACTGAAAAAAAAAACAAAAAAAAAAACTGAAAAAAACAGAAAAAATCAGCTGGAACCCTGTGTTTTCACAGGGATCACCTGTTTCGGAGCCTCAAAGTCAAAGGCTTGACTGTGAAAACACAAGGTGTTCTTTGATTGTTATTGGAGTTATTAAGAAAAGAACGGTAAGGCCTGAGTGTGATCCCTGTGCAGGCACAGGGATCACCTGTCCCAAATACCGCTTTTTCTTAGTAGAACCAGCAAAAAATCAAAGAACACCATGTGTTTTCACTGTCAAACCTTTGATTTTGAGGCTCCGAAACAGGTGATCCTTTTGATCACACAAGGTTCCAGCTGATGTGTTTCTGTTTTTTTCATTTGTTTCTGGTGTTTCTGTATTTTGTCTGGTTGTTCCGCCTTGTTGGAAACAAGGATTCTAACAACGCGGAAAAACACCAAAAAGAAAAAGAAAAAAACAAAAAAAAAAAAAACAAAAAAAAATAAAAAAAAACCAAAAAAAAAAAAAAAAAAAAAAAAACAAAAAAAAAAAAAAAAAATAAAAAAAAGAAAGAAAAACGAACAAAAAAAAAAAAAAAAAAAAAAAAAATAGAAAAAAAAAAAAATAAAAAAGAAACAAAAAAAAAGAAAAAAAAAAAAAAAAAAAAAAAAAATAAAAAAAAAAAAAAAAAAAAAAAAAAACAAAAAAACAAGGATTCTAACAACGCGGAAAAACCATAACAAACGGAAAAACCAGAAAAAGCGGAAACACCACAAAAAAACAGCTGGAACCCTGTGTTTTCACAGGGATCACCTGTTTCGAAACCTCAAAATCAAATGTTTGACTGTGAAAACACAAGGTGTTCTTTGATTTTTATGTGTTTCATTAAGATAAAAACGGTAAGGCCTGAGTGTGATCCCTGTGCAGGCACAGGGATCACCGGTCCCAGCTACCGCTTTTTCTTAGTAAAACCAGCAAAAATCAAAGAAAACCTTGTGTTTTTTCACAGTCAAACCTTTGATGTTGATGCTCCGAAACAGGTGGCCCCTGTGAAAACAAGGTTCCAGCTGTTTTGTTTATGGTTATTCCGCTTTTTCTGTTTGTTTGTTGCTTTTTCTGGTTTTTCCGCCCTGTTGGAAACCAAAATTCGGAGGAGCATTTCTGACAGAATTCGCGCCCTCAAAGAAACAAGGATGACGCAACCCAAGGTGTCTCCGAGCACAGCCTTTGAGATTGCAGCCCAGTGTACAATAAAAAACGAAGGCTTCCAAATTCAAGGGCCATGCTTGCCTCATCATGTCAGAATGCACGGCTGGGAAGCCGTTGCAAGAAAGCGTCGCGAAGAATTTCATCAGTGGTGCTGTTCTTCCATGCAGGCCGAATTTTGGGACTGACACATTCTATATGTTCCTGGGAATGTTCGGCGAAATACTGGTAGCTCAACCCCGCCCTACCGTCCATAGTTGGCGACCCGAATGGCATAGACTCGCTGAGGTCATGGGCGCGCAGATTCATTGCCCTCAAACTCGAGAGCCAATTTACGCCTGACGAAAAGCAAGTCGATGTCTCTAACAGACGCTTCTTGGAAGACTCATCGCTGGAATCTTTCCTCGAGGGCCAAGAGGCGCGGTGCGCATACGTTCGCCACTTTCTGTTGCCTCGGCGGATGCAGTTCTCCAGAGAACAGATGGTGTCGAGTCGGATGGGCGTGAACGACCGCATCAAACAGAACACGTCTGACTTCGTTAAGCGCATGGCCAACGGAGGCTTGCAGGACCCCATGGTCGAGCTCATCCCTGATGATTACATGCCACATGGAGGAAGTGACAGCCGACATGCACCGCAAGAACCAAGCGCCGAGGAGACATTAGTTCGACAAGTACACGCTGCAACTGCGGGGACATGCAAGGTCGCCGCACATGCAATACAGAGGGTGACGGGGATCCCTGGCGCGGCAACGAAGGCGAGCAAAAAGGGCAAGAAGTCGGGAGAGCAATATTTATCTGAAGCAGTTGATGCATGGCTGTATTTACTACGCCCCGCTGGCAGCGGCACTTATCATAGGTTTGACATCGATTTGAAGAAGCTCGACGAGCTCCTGGTTACATACGGCTCTCAACATTTCGGGTCTTGGGAGGAATGGGGATCTCCGCGGGCCAGCGGCGAAGTCATGTCAGAGCACTTTGCAGAACCTGTGGAAGAGGACTGCGACGGCACGCTACATGAACCACGGGATGACGACGCGCTCGCGTGCACTTCGAAGGAGCACGTTGACCTGGCCGCGTCTCGGGCTCGCCATCAAGGGGGCAGCGACCGCAGGCCTGATGCGTTGCGCAGATACATTACCCGCTGTGAGAATGAAGGCGATATCATGGGCAACTACGCTGGTGTTCGAGTGTCTTATTATCGCAGGCGCGGGCTGCCTGGGAGGATGCACGCGCGGGGCCCAGCACTGCAGTGGCTGACTAAGGAGTCGCGCGCGGCTGCTCTGGCGGGCATGAACTACAGCGTCGACATCCAGAACTGTTTCCCCACGCTTCTTCTTCATGAGGTCCGAAAGCTACATGCCAAGGACGACGTGCCGCTGCGATCCTTGGAGCTCTTTGTCAAATACCACGCCATTTGGAGAGAAGTTGCCAAGGAGTACTTGCAAGTTGAGATTTCCGAGGCTAAGATGGCGATCTCGAAGATCTTCGGCCTCGGAAAGCCAGGTGCCAACTTGCCGTTCTTGCTGTCGCTCGCCGTGGACGGGGCTCAATCAAAAGACATATTATTGAAGTCCGCTCGTTTCCAGCATCTACGGTTACTCTTTCGGGGGCGGCCACGGCCATCGGCGACGCGGTTATTCTACGCCCTGTCTGAGTGCGAAGACGACGAGCTGCAGCGAATGTTGAAGTTCTGCGCTGCCAACAACTGGGTTGTGAACTGCTGCATTTTCGACGAGATCATCCTATCATCGCCGGATCAGCCGTTCGTTATTAGCGATGCATTCGAAGAGCTACAGGAGAAGTCCGTGGTCAAGTACAGGGTAAGTTGTGCCGCGTCAGCCAAGCCGCTTCTCAGCGAACTGCTCCTCGCGCATGGTCGCGCCGTTCGACGTGAAGAATTGCCGCCCCCTCTCGCACCAGACGCTGGTGGTGCATGCTTATACCACGCAGTTCAGTACTTGGACGTCGCCCCCAACCAGGCCTGGCCGCCGTGCGACGGCCCCCGCAGCGTTCGCAGTTTCAATGAGCATTGGGGGCATGACTCTCAGAGAGAGCAGTCGGTATTATTGCTGCAAGAGTGTGGCACGGCACCTAATGATGCGTTTCGTGTGCACTCGGAGGTCGTTTGTTGGCAGCCGCATGCAGAAGGACGTGGGCATTTCGCAGCTTTGAAGATGAGCGGGGGCTGTGTTGACATTTACGATGCCGCTATTGGATCGATAGTGCGAGCGCCACTTCACAATTTCGTGCCAGCTGCGCTGAGGTTCGAGAACGTGTACTTCTATTACGCAAAGTGGTACGATGTTTCTGATCTCCCCACAATGGATGGCGCAGCTTACGAAGTCGAAGGGTCTGGTCGTGGACGATCGACATGTTGCATGCAGAAGGCTGGTCAGGGTGGTCCCATGAAGAGAATTGCCAAGCGGCCCGCGTCGTGTTTTCCAGCACCAAAGAAAGGAAAACGGCGCATGTATGCGCGACCTGAGAAGCTCGA